GCCAAGGACTGGGAACGCACAAGAAAGAACAAAGAGCAGCAGTGACACCCTGACACGTCCGAACTCCGACACCACCTACAGGGACGGACAAAGGCTCTGGGTGCGTCGGGGAAAGGCGGGAGTGCCAACTCTGCTGTTGGTCTCTGAACAAGTGCAGCAGTTCTGCTTCGCAACCTTGCAGGTCTCAGATCTGCTTTACGCACACCTTGCCCAACACAAGAGCTACAGGGGCTCCGCTGGAAGGAGGAAAACAAATATTGCCTTGGACGTGGGAAGTCGTTCCTTGACTAGACCCTGCCGTTTAACGTGGTCTGGAGCTCTTCAGAGCTCTGTGGCGAAGGAAAGAGGAGCACACCACCAAACCCTTCTCTTCCCCAGTCAAACACGCGCATCTTATGTCATCCCACAACCACCGCATACCAAGCACAACGCGTTCCTGCTAAAACGCAACCGCTGTTTCTGCCCGGGACCAGATGAGCCAAAATTCAACTCATTTCTTCTAGCACAGGGCAGCCTCCCTTCGAAGAAAAACATTCCTCGAAATGCGTTAGCAAGACAGCACCGTTCCCTGTCCTCGACTGCACTGGCAGATGGCGGTGAAGGTGGCTTAGCAGACCCTTTGCACCGCTTTCCATCCAGAGGGTGGAGTGGCAGGTTTCGCACACCACCTTACTCAATAACATGTCCTCTGCCACTGAATTCTTAAGAGAATTTTTTAGCATTTAAATGCATTGGGGGGGGAAAAAAAAAAATAGAAGTAAAAGCCATTCCTGTCCAGATTAACATCCTTCAGCGTTCCTGCAAACGTGCCTTCAGGTGCAGCACGGAGCAAGCGGGTGACAGAGACATCCTACAGCGTCTGGGAAACTGCATTAAATAACCTAAAGATCTCACCACCTTTCCTGCAGTAAGAGCTGTGCCTGGCTCTCAGATGCAGTTTGCGCTTTATAGCCTCCGTATCGGTCTGATAGCGAATATTAGCATGACTTCATTTCATTAAGTGGTTTTAGCAAGACCAGCGACTCTGCACTGCCCGAGGAAAAGAATGGAGCAGATTGGGGCATGACACAATGTACTGATCTTACTACAGATAGAGTCGGCCTGGGACAGTCCTGTGGAAGCACACGGGAACTTAAAATGGGTTTTATCATTTGAAGAAAATGCCCCATTCGAGCCATTTAGTTAGCAGGCTCAGAAGTTACCAGATAACTAACCAGGAGTTTGCACTGGGAGGGTCCTGGCTACTTGTTACCAACTTGCGGTGTGCAGCTTTCATTGCTTTTTAATGAAAAGTATTTTTAAAGCCAGTTACTCAAATCGCCTCACAATTTCTCCTCTGCAGAAGGGGTTTAAAACCGATCTCTCTCCAGAGACAGAAAAGCAGGCGCAGCAAATCTGCAGCCCACAACTCCTCCTGATCGGTAGCTTCTGCTAGAAAGGGAAGAGATACTTGCCTTCGGTTTGAAGCCGATAATTCTGTTGAGCTTGACGAGGATGCATGGTTTGCCATCCCTGTACCCAAAGGTGGGATCGTTTATTCCAGAGCAGTTTTCCAGCCACTCACGTTTGAATTTGCAGACCTTCTTCTGGCCCTGGGCATCATTATATGGTCCTCTCTCTTTGTAATCGTTAGGTGAGTCTGTCATGGCAGGGGAACGAAAAGACAACCGTATGCAAGGTGACCTTTTGCTTGTCAGGAACAGCAGCACTTAACGCTTCACCGCGTATTCAGGATGTCCCCCTCGCCCAAACAGGTAAGTGACACCACCTTCTCAACGCTGACACCACAGACCTGCACCCCAGCCACCCCCCCACGTGTGGGCTGGTCCCAGACCAGTAAGTTTGCCAGGGTTTTGGTTTTTAACTGAGGATTCTTCCAGACAATGAGAGAACAAACATGTTTGTAATCCACTGGCTCTGATTTTTTTTTTTTTTGTCGGCTTTTACGAGTGGGTTCCCCTCAGATTTTACATGCACAGATCACAAGGTGATAGTCTCATTCCACATTATTGCATCTAACCTATTAAAGGTTAATACCTCCCAGATGTTTTGCTGCATTGCATCTAGAGGACCGACACTGGCTTTAGCAAAACCCTTGTGGCTTTCAGAGAGGATAAGGTCAGCGCTTTTGGAGTCAGCTGCAACTTTCTCCAAGTGAAATCTGGGAGTTCCCAGCCATATAGCCTCTACAGTTAAGTTGCTACGTACATCCCTGGCCAAGTCTGGTCTGTCCAGAGTGATCGTCTAAGGAGCAGCCATGTGACTGAAACCAGAGCCTGCCAGTTTACCAACAATGCCACTGGTTACCATAAAAGGAACAGCCAAAGACAGAGACCACCACCGCTCACCCTCAGCTTCAGATGGACCTGACGCAGAGGTGTTGGTCAGAGCCCTCAGCTGCAGGGAACAATCGCGACTTACCCCCACAGTCCTGAAATACTATGTTTTCAGTTTGTTGATCAGCGCTGTAGTCCCTTAAGAACTTCTCAAGGTTCTTCACATAGGGCTCAAAACTTTTGGGATCGGAGGCAGTAAAGGAAATTTCTGTCTTCTGTACCTGGGGGATTTGAGTCAGTCCTAAGAAAAGCAAAATAAGGAAGAAAACATTAAGTACACCTCAGAGCTGCACAGCCTCTGGGCAACGCAGTGCACACCAAGAACGTAACTCATTCTAATAACCTCTATTTTTCAGACTTTGGGACTTGCACAAAACAGCTTAAGTTCACTAGAGGGAAGGCTCTGACGGGCTCTTATCTCCTCTTTCCAATAACAGTCTGGAATATTCGTCATGACGTTTGCATCACTAAGCAGATAAAAATCACAGAATCCAGAAGGGAGGCTATAAGTCAAGGTTCTCCTCAAGAAAAACAGTCAACCTCAGGTCCCCTGCCCGCTTCTGCCTCCTCCCCAAGGACAGGAGGGAAGCTGGCCGCGTGCGAGACCAACCACACACAATAAAGTCCCAGGGAAGCCTCTTCTTATGCATGTATCCCCCACAGGGTGACTTGATAGTCTGCAAAACACGCTATGTGTTTAGGATAAAAATCAGAGCTGCCCACACATGAACCCTCGCAATAAATTATGAGAGGTTCCCCAGGTCAGGTACGATCTCTGCTGGCTGTAATCCACATTGCCTCTGCGTAGTCTCCCTTGTAGCGGGCAGGGCAGGAGACATTTTCTCACTCAGTAAATTCAGCAGCCTGGTCGCTTTCTCTGGTCTTTTCACTCCGTAAGCAGGTATTTCTGATTGCAGAAATAGCCTTCTGGGCTCTCTCATCAGAAGCTCATCACCAAGTAGATGAGTAGGAAATACCACCACGCAGGAGAGGTGTTTAAAACTGTCCTAGATTCTGGGCTGTGTAACTGGCTCTGCTTTTGACTTTAGGAGGATGAACAGAAAAAGAATGCGTGGAGAAGAGAAGGGACTAGTTACAAGTAATGCCTACAGATGATGATGAAAAGTGCCAACCTCTTTGCTTTTCATTATGGGACTTGGAAGTAGTTGCTCCTGCATGATGTTTAGGTCACATTTTAATTGAATGCGTTGATGCATGGCTAACGCATTAAACTTAAGTAACAGGAACCGGAGTTCACGCTGCTTTTGTGGTGGCCACTGTAATTACCAAGGTCTTGACTTCTCTTCAGTTTGTCATCTTCATTTTAGCAAGAACAAGAAAAAGGAGCAGGGGAGCAGCATTTGCTTTGACAGCTTTCAGAACAGGCCCGTTACCAGCAAGTTCCCCTGGTGCAAAACTCAGGCAGCTTAGCTGGCTGGCCCCCACCCACAGGAGCTTGTGACTCCAGCAATTTTTCCAAAGCCACTTCAGTGCTTCTCCTTAGTCCCTCCTCAAGCCAGCTCACCACTCCCCCCCCCGCCCCGCTACCCACTGAGTTGGAATTTGTAACCTAGGACAAAGATTAGCTTTGTTCCCCTAAACGTAGCTCCTAGTAGCCAAAGATAGCGAGACACCCAGTGAGTAGCTCAGGGTTTCAAATTTTATTCCAGGAAGCAGCTTTAACCACTCAAAACTTCCTCTGGTACAAATTGACCAGGCTGAGTGTTAAAAGTTTAGAAGCAATTTACTACTCCACTCGCAGAATTATGTCCTACCCTCTGAAGTCAGTGGCTTTCAACCCCTTTTCACGCAGTTACTTGCATTCTTGCTTCACAAACAGTTATAACTAAATATATATAAAATAAACAAACTCGGTTCAATTTTAGTAAGGGACTTCAATCCCATCCTGCCAAACCCTCCTCGTGTTACCACTCAGCTGAGAAGCAACAGGCTCAGAGTCACTGGAAGTGGCTATCTGGAATTGCAGGGAAGGCGGGCCTTGGTTCCTCTCCTGGGTCTGCTTCTTCCAGAGTTCAAGTTACAGGTGTGTCATTCAAGTGTATAAATATAAAATTCAAGAAAGCTGGGCCAGGCTTGTTAAAGCCAGCTTCCGTCAGGCAGTTAAACTAGATTTGCTCAGGACCTCTAAAACTGAGGAACTCCCCACCTCTATTTCTTTACCTTGTACAAGGTAACACATAAAGGCACCCATCCAGACGTGGCAAAGGTGCAGGGAAGGTCAGTGATATACACCCCATGATGCGAGAAAGCCACCTAGCAGAATATTCCTGTTCTCTCATTAGGAGAGCCTGGCCATGGACACGTACAGTCCAAAGCCAACCCTCTGCTCTTGAAACAAGTGACTTGGTTGGAAGAACAAACGCCCATCCAAAGCAGCCCTGCCTTGCAAATCTTTGCAGAACAGCACCGCAGCCCAAGCAGCACCTCCATACAGCTCCTCCAGGGACCCGAACAAGCGAACAACCAGTCCTACTGGGTAGGCTTGGCCTGTGGCCATAGCTGGGCTGCTTTCAGCCAGACTTTGGGCATTTACAGGTACTTGGGTGAACCAGACTGAGCTTTGGTACGGCAGGTGCTTGCTTTGTTTAGGACAAGAGCAAAGTGGAGCTCAATCTTCCCACTTACACAGCAAGGAAGTAATTCTTTGTGAAGATGAAAGGCTTGTTAATAGCTTTATCCTGATTAAAAATGTATTACTGGCTTTCACCACAATTTCCATCCTCACGTGCCTGCAACTGACTGGACACAAAGCCCTCAGCACAGATCTATCATTTCCTTTCTTGTTTTCCATCTGTACGTCCCATAGCCAGAATAAAACCTTCAATGCTGTTATCAGAACTGAAGCCCTCTTAAGCAATCTTGTTTAAAAAAAGCAAACTGTTGATTTGATCTGACAAGAGGAAGTAACCTCTGCAGAACGCATCTGTAACCTTTCTGAAACCTTCTCTCACCCCCATTAGGGGAACAGAAGCAAGTAGGGACAAGAAAAAAAATTACAAAGCTCAGCCATTCCACTGCTGCCTATCATGGGTTGCTACACAGCTAAGGAAGTACGTGGCTCCCATAAAGTACAGGGACGAATAAGCCTCTTGGGGGCTTCCTGCACATGAGGCAGCCATTCATAAGCAAGTCATATGGGGGGAAAAGAAACAAAGCCTCAAGTGCTTCCATAGCCAGAAGTCCATAGCCTGAAAATGGGGAGAGGGTTGTTTAATCCGTTTGCCACAGTTCTGCATCTCATGCTATTGGCACAGAGATACACTGTGGCATCACGTGTGGTGATGCTGTTCTTCATGTGTGCAAGAGTAATATTGCTAAAATACTGTCAGACTACTTTAGAAAATTTCTGCAGCTGGCTCTCAGAGTGCATTGCAGGCAATACGATTCCCATCTTCACTTGACTGAGACTGTCCACATGAATGATGAGTGATGCTTTGACTTGGTAACAGACACCACCTTCTGTTGGCTTTCTAACTCTGTGGATGTACACAGATACCAAAAAAAGCACGCAGAGTAATTGATTTTTTTTTTCCAGCTACAGTTTCACTTCCAAAATACCATTGCAGATTAAAAATCACATTTATTCAACTTCATTTAAAACCAGATTTTCCACATAGGCTTTATCATTCTAAGCTGCAGGAGCAAGAATTCAGGAAAAACAGTATCCTGAGGGTGAAGAAGAAACTAGAAGTGGGAAAGCAGGCTTGTTATTAGGAATGGTTATGCAAGTCCATAGTAACCACTCTCGCTTCATCACACAATGCTCATTTCCAAGTACCATGTACCCTTGGTTCAGAATGAGTCTGAACACCCTGGGATGGCACAGCTGACAAACTGAGTGATCACTACACCGTTTCTATTTACTGTCCCCCGAAGCTCACTAAGTGAGGGTGGACTTCAAAAGCCTCCATACCCAGCCATGTCCTTCCAAGCTTCCAGTCACCCTCTACCTCATCCCCAAAGTGCAAAAAGCAGGTGAGTTTTCTACAGATGCAGCAAAAAAAAAATCTGCTTGGCAGATAAACATCCCTGGAGCTTGAGATGCAGAGATTTTTCCAAACATAGGTACCAAGGCAAGAGATGGGAGCAGGCAAAGTGCTGCTTCACAGGAGGTAGCTTATGCTCCTTGAGGCTTTCCTGCCACCTCCTTGCTGCTATCTGAGCTGAATAAGCCAAGTGGGGAACACGCACCAGAGCAGCCTTTCCCAAGACACGCTCGCTGCCCAGGCACACGGTGGCCAGGCAGCACTTGAAGCAGGGACACCTGGAATGCCCTGGCTTGAGCCACTTCTGCCAGCTGCCACTTAAAAAGAGCCTTAGGCAGCAGTGAGCTCTCTCGCCCCTACACCAGCCCTATTGACGGGTGCCGTGTTTCACAGGAAGCACACCACAAGATGGCAGGATACACAGCCCAATTTATATTTGGGCAGGGAAGAAGAGGAGAAGAACAGAGTATTATTTTTTAAACGCTCGGTAAGCTGCGTTTAAGAGGCAGTATCCTCATTCTTCCCTACTAGCAGCAGAAGTCCTCTGTGCTTAAAGCAGAGTCCGAGCCTGCAGCACACGTGGAGCTGGGGCTGTCGCAATGGCAAGGCTGGACAAGAAAGTGAACTGCACTGTCCCTTCCCCCACCCCAAGACAAAAAAAAAAAGAGGAGGAAAAAAAGTATCATGGAAAGGTACAAAACTCCTCTTGCCCTGAAGCCCTATATAACATTCCTGTTGTGTTCAATGCAGAAACCAATTAGCATAGTAATGACACTTGGCTACAAAAATAGCACTTTATGGCTTTCGATGTTATACCCATGTCAATAACTCAATAAAACATCCTGCAGGTTCTGCTGCTGTTACGAAATCTGTTGTATTTCAGAACAAGAATATTACAGCAGCCCCTACAGCATTTTCTCCTGCAAATCCTGGAGGGAAGTGTAGTTTCCCCTTTCTCAGCCATTTTGGGCTGACACAGCAGTGACTTGCCCAAGAAAGACAGTGCACTGCAACAAGTATAAAAACAGGTTTTCTTGCTTCCTAGAAGATCCAGGGCACTATCAAGCTGCCAATACACTTACTTGGCTTGCAAATCTTCCCACAAGAACAAGGAATTAGAATTGCGTAACACCCTGTTTTATGTAGTTCATTGTCTGCAGGGGTCCCCGATCACAGAAAATTCAAGTTAGGGGCGCACCAAGTGCAGGAGCAAACATGCCCACGTGTGTGTTCATTGCCAGAAGAGTGGTTGAGGTTGCAGCACAGGGGGGTGGAGGGGGGGAGCCCTACACAGCAGGGGCCAAACACAGCAGTGCAACAACTCACTACAGCATCAATCTCTCTGAAAGCTGACATTAAGAGGCTATTTTTGACTCTCTGTGGTCTAACGGCTGCTGTGCTACCAGGATGAGGAACAGACCTGACATTAAACACCAACTTCCACCATGCCTTACCCCTAGCGTGTGCACATCTGTAGAAAGAGTTGTCACGTGATGCCCTGCGAAGGACCCTGTGCTATTAACTGGTCAGTATCTCCTTGAAGTTGCACCCGTATGCCGCTGCAGCTTGGTTCAAAGCCCTTGTTTGTGGGGCTGCCTACTGTCATATATTCAAGGAGCTGGATTTTGTACTGCAATCAAGGGGAACATGTCCTGAAAGCCCATCACAAAGATCCCTGATGACCTTTGCATTCTTCCTCCATTTTGATTTCTGTAGTACATGCTACAAGAGCACCTCGAAATTCAGTTGCCTTTTTGGTAAAAAAAAAAGATAAGCCTGAGAAAAGGTGGTGCAGTACACAATTAAGAGATGAATAAAAGTCCTCTGCAGGCTGAAATCTTACACAGAAGTTTTACCACAGAGTTGCTTTGAAATTAGAATTGCAAACTGCTATTACACAGAAAGCAAACAGTTTACCTAGAATGAGTAATTATGCGACATCAGGCTAAACAGCAGGTCTACCTGGATGTGGCCCAAGATCCATGGGCTTCTTCGCTAATTATTTCACGTCTGGTGAGACCACTGGGCTTCAGCCGGGGGAAAAACACGTTATTAAAGTAACAACTATTCCACCATTAGCCGTCTTGGCTTTTCAGATGCAGCTAACAGCTCTGGGCAGTATCAGTGACAGTTTAGTCTTTCCTGCAAACGTCAGAGCCCACTGCAGAGATAAAACCAGCCACTTCCACTGCTTAAGACGGCATTTACCCCAGCCACGCTGGTACATTAAGAAGTGCCACGTGCTACCACAGCAGTTCCAGTCTCTGTTCTGTCTTTTAAAAAGTGCTGGTGGAAAAGCAATTCTCTGAAAGAGGTGATTCTTTGCTGAGATGTAGCACCATTTGGTGATGGTAACGTTCCCCCCGTGTTGTTAGAGCAGGGAATAAGCACAGCATATCACTGCAGACAGTGGGGCAGTAAGACACCATGCGACACCAGAGCCAACTTCTGTAGCTACAAGCCATCAGCCTCACAATTGTCACTTAAATACCACTGTTATTAAAAGCTTCTGAACTGTTTTACAGAGCAACTGGAGACAGATCGTTACCATCCCCAGTGCCAAGCAGCCTCAAGGTCATCTGTAACGTGGGAAAGCAGCAGTTGCGCAGCTCCCCCGCCACGCTCCGAGCAGCCGCTGGCTGCGGCCGGAATCAGATAGCGCAGCAGAGCCTGGACAGGCAGAGCAGGGAACCTGCGGCAAGGGCTGGTTACTCCATTTGCCCCTGCCCAGGGCAGGCTGCCCACAGACGCTGCTCAAGCGATCATTTTAATCCTGAGCAGAGACTTACTTTGCCTAGCAAAGACTAGGTCACACATCAGCAACTACAAGACCCACCTTTAGCCTCCCACAACACATTCGATTGAAATACCCATTAGTACCTGCTACCGTCTCCTCTAGATCACACAGTACAGTTCAGCCTTGGCTAATACAGTTCAGTAAGCACACCCAGAATCGGTACGGTCCCCTTTCTCCTTGTGCACCCCAGTGTCACAGATAAAGCTACACTTTTTATCTTTGCCCCTTCACTTACCCATGGGAACACAGTGGCTACGTGAAAAACTGAACCCAGCATCTTCACACAGCGCACTCCCAAGTGAAGCCTCTTTGCCTCACTCCTTTGCTTCAGTTTAAGGGAAGAGCAGCACTCCAGGTTCTATTTCCTCTCAGACAGGAGGCATATTCCATGTGATGCAACCTTTAATTCTAGCAGGATTGCCTTCAAGCCCCAGTACTGTTAACACAGAAGGCTGAGAACATACCCACCCCCTACAAATATGTGTTGCAGCAACAACACGCTTATTTCATCCTCCTTCTTGAGGTGAGTAACCAACCCGCCTCCCCAGAACAGCTTGCACCAAGTCAAACACGGGCCTCCTATTTAGTTACCTGGAGGTGCCACTCGATCCTGGTATTTGGGTTCAAATTCACTGACGGTGAGCAACATTACTTGGATGGTCCCAATGAATATACCTGCCAGGCAACCGTAGAAGATGACATAGAAGAGCAGGATTTTAACTGCAAGAGAAAACAAACAGGAAGAAGAATCAAATCAGGCCCTCAATGCAGTCACATTTCAGGACAACATTTTCAACCTTTGCCACTTGCAAGGAAGAGCCCGGCACACTGAATTCAGATGGCAAGCCCTGCTGCAGAGGCATATATTTAACAGCAAGATGATGCCCTGACGCAGGCAGAAAATACAAGTCACTCCAGTCATCTGAGGGGCTGGAAGCATGAGCCCCCAAAAACCTAGAAATCTACAAATCCGGATTTGGGACTGTAAAACATGAATATTAAGCCATGTTCTTCTGTATTTTAAAGGATCCCTTGGCTGACCCAGCGCTACCATCACGCACTATCACAGGTGACAAACTTTCAGCGAAGCAAGCGTCCAACAGCAAGGCAGCCTACACTATGGGTGCGCTCTGCATGACACCCATGCCACAAAGCTCTGGGCCTCAAAGCTATTTTTCCAGGAGAGACTACCATGAATATTGCATTCAGGTTTACAAGCAACTGTAAAGCCTGTTCTCACCTTGTAATGCAGGCTATTGCCTTCATTAAAGACAACCAAAGCAGAATTTGGGCCCAAATTAGCTCCAATACTCAATCTCAAATGTAGGAAAGTACTCAGACATATCACAGTACCGGCAGATTTACCAGCCTTGTGTGCCTGCAAAGGCGCTCCAGCACTGCTCGTACCAATTAAAAAGCAAATTACATAATAACCAAAGACTGAATTTAGTTTTGGTCTAAAGGGAGATGCCTAGAATAATCGGGGGGGTGGGGGTGGGGATGAACCTGGAGACACAACATGGCTCAGACTCTGGGTATCAGTTACCAGTTTACAAGGATTATCTCAACCGATTAACTGCACGGTAACATGCCGTACTAGGCATCACCAGGCCGCCTACGGGAAGGATAAGCCAGCCCATGCCAAGCAACTATATGCTAATCAGGCTGCAGGAACAAGCAGGCCAGCGCAGAGGCCAAAGAGTACTTGAGAGAGCCTGCTTGATCTCAGACTGTCCTCATCTAAGTGCAAACGAAAAAGAGGTGGCTTATGCAAAGGACGTGAAGGGACCAGCTACAAGGGAAGGGGAGGAAGCAGTAGGTGGAAGTATTCCTCCTCCCTCCCCAGCCCCACTATAAAAAAAAAAGCTCCATCCGTGGAGAAGCCTCACGATGAAAGTAGGCAGTTCTGGTTGCTTTCTTTTCAAGTCTATGAAAGACAGGCGAGCAGGAAGGACAGCCAGGGACACGGAGGCTGAGGGACACTGTCAGAAAGGCACTCCATCCTCTCGTCTTCCTCGGGCGCAACGGAGGCAGGGGAGGTAGCCAGGGCTGGTGGGCAGAGCTGGGTGTGGTAGCATAGTGCTCCAGGAGTTAAAAGCACTCTTTGGTATCCAGGCAGCGTAAAGCAAATGGCTGTGACGTCAGGGACGTGTGGAAATTTTTTCCAGAGCACGGTCATAGGAGGTGCTGTTGTAACAAACCAAACACTAATGCTGTTGTCTGCAGCGTAACGCCTTTGAGTTTTGTAACATCAAAAGGCAAGCGCTGGGAGGTAGCTTATTTAATCGGGTTCCCAGCCAGGATGCTCTTAACGCCAAAGACACCTTAAAGGTCAAAACCACTCCTAGGTCTCAGAAAAATACGCAGCGGGTCTAGCGACCGAGCACGACGGGGTTGAACCAAAAAAGCTTCCCGCAACAGGTAGGTTTATAACAGAGGAATCTGATCATCAGCCTGCAGATCGACTCCACAAATGGAAATCAGTCCTAGGCGGATAGGTGCAGGCACTCTGGGAGAAGGACGCGGTT